CAGGGCAACAGATCCCATTGTACAGTAACATCTTAACCCAGTACTGACGGGCATGGCATATACATACATGCTATGTTCACTGTGAGTTTATTTGTTTAATTGTTTATACACATAAATGGCAGCATTTGTACTAAGTCACCAATGAGCCAATAACGAGTACTGCCTGTCTCGCCCGTTCACCCTTTAACTTTAGTTACGAAAATATTTTACGTTATCTTATTTTGTCGTTACTATTGTTTATAACATTATGGTAATTATAATATCTATAATAAAAACAACACCATCAATATTCATAGCATTATTAAAAAATACGTTTTTCCCGCCAATTCAAGGAAAGATGAAATCAGGTAAGGTCACAAGGTCTACTAACTGACTCCTTTATGGATAAGCACAAGCAGAGTCATCTATGTCCAGAGACATTTCACGAAAAAAAAAAAAACAAAAAAAAATGAGCACAGCATTCTCCCATTTTTTATTAAGAACGGCCCATAATCTTTTCTCCCTCAGATCCAGTCACTAAGTACTGATTTTTCAGGATTACAATACTTACCATTAATCTGACATTAATAACTCATTTATTAACAATACGTTACGCAGCTGAAATAATTAACAGCAGGGTTTTTTTTCCTTCAACAGACGACAGGATGTATAAACTATATCACTCACACTCGTCTTTAACAAAGTAGTCTACATATTGTTCCAAGGAGCCGATGTAGCCAATGGACTTTATCAGCCGGCTGTGGTGAAGGAAGGACAAGACCACGTCCTTGGGGTTCCTTGCCACATAGATCACCTATAGAGAGAAAAATTACATTTTTAGATTTCAGGTTTGCTAGACAGCGTACTCATGTGTTTACAACACGGAATAGAGCATGGAAAATCAGGCAAAACGTATGACAGTTTCATTAGGGTCAAGAGGAGATCAAAGGCATTGTAAAGGTAAGAAAACAAATAGAAAACATTGGATTTATGTTTAGCTTAAAGTCTGTCATATACAAAGGCTCTCTCACTGTAAGGAGCATAAAAATTATGTGAAGCTAGAATGACCGAAAATTCGTCTAAAAACCCTTCTTCTGTAAACCTCATTAACTTAATATTAAGCATATGTTACACCTTAATGTATAACTTCCATAATTAGGTAACTTATTGTAGTGCTTATTTTTTTCTCTCTGAAATATTTTACATTATTCTGTTATTTCTGTAAAAAAAAAAAAAAATGAGCACAGCATTCTCCCATTTTTTATTAAGAACGGCCCATAATCTTTTCTCCCTCAGATCCAGTCACTAAGTACTGATTTTTCAGGATTACAATACTTACCATTAATCTGACATTAATAACTCATTTATTAACAATACGTTACGCAGCTGAAATAATTAACAGCAGGGTTTTTTTTCCTTCAACAGACGACAGGATGTATAAACTATATCACTCACACTCGTCTTTAACAAAGTAGTCTACATATTGTTCCAAGGAGCCGATGTAGCCAATGGACTTTATCAGCCGGCTGTGGTGAAGGAAGGACAAGACCACGTCCTTGGGGTTCCTTGCCACATAGATCACCTATAGAGAGAAAAATTACATTTTTAGATTTCAGGTTTGCTAGACAGCGTACTCATGTGTTTACGACGCGGAATAGAGCATGGAAAATCAGGCAAAACGTATGACAGTTTCATTAGGGTCAAGAGGAGATCAAAGGCATTGTGAAGGTAAGAAAACAAATAGAAAACATTGGATTTATGTTTAGCTTAAAGTCTGTCATATACAAAGGCTCTCTCACTGTAAGGAGCATAAAAATTATGTGAAGCTAGAATGACCGAAAATTCGTCTAAAAACCCTTCTTCTGTAAACCTCATTAACTTAATATTTAAGCATATGTTACACCTTATGTATAACTCCATACTTAGGTAACTTATTGTAGTGCTTATTTTTTTTCTCTCTGAAATATTTTACATTATTCTGTTATTTTTGTAAAAAAAAAATATATATATATATGATAGTCTCCGTTTTTGTTGTTGCACTCGAAGCACATTCTCTTTGATTTAAGGGCACTCTATTATATTCACTGGAACCTTATTATATCAAGGATGTCCAATCAGTATTTTCATGAAGAAATTAAATATATATTATTTTTGTTGGATGTATACAGTATGGGAGATTATATGCTTGAAATATATGAGATTTGAATTAAAGTTAAATTTGGAAATACATACGGTTTTACATCCTGATATTATATTATATCCAGATTACCTCTCGAATCATTAAAGATTTAAAACCCATTCAGATTTGACACACAAATGAAAAACAACTTACGTAACCATTTTTGTTGAAGATTAATATCAATTTCCTATATCTTTGTTGCATTATATATATATATATATATATATATATATATATATATATATATATATATATACATATATATATATATATATATATATATATATATATATATATATATATATATATATATATACACACACACACACACATACACACACA